ACCATATCATTTGAAATCATACCAAAAATCATGCCATACCGTAAAATGGTAAATATCAGTACTTAATGAAAAAGGCCTATTACAGAAGTTCATAAAATAACTGACCCTTTTTGATTTAAAGGCTTAACTGGCAAACACCACTGAAAGAGATACTTGGACAAAGTTTTAAGTTGAACACGAGTTATCTGACCGAATTGACAACATTGGTTGATATATTATCTCATAAGACGGGAGTTCCTGGTTACCAGAGTGTTCTTACAGCCGGGGTCTTTGCGAACTTGACGAGGAAGGAATACACAAGGTAAATACAATATTTATTCATTTTTACAGCTGTATCGAAGTCATATTGTACTGGAAGAAATACGCATTTGATTATTTTAATGATGCCCTCCTATTGGAAAAAATGCCCACTAATCCTGGAAAAGACCATATTCATTCGACCATGCACTTCCTTTTAGATATATATGTAAAAGTCTATGATAAGACAAATTTCTAGAATATACATAATAATAAAAACAATTTACATTCATGACATTAGGCGTCTTCGGTTTCTTGAGCCCGAGTTCGCTGTGAGGAATGGTTGGATATACAACAATCATATGTACATGTTGGCTGGCCATGTGGCTGAAATACTTGCAGACGACACTGGGAATATATCTTGGGAAAATCTTCTAAAAACGCATATTTTACTACCAATAGGGATGAATTCCACCAGATTTGTTACACTGAACGAAACATGGGAAGATGTTTCAAAGGCTTACGTCCTTCTTGATGGAAACTTGACCTATGTCGGCATGGATATGATAAAGTATGTATTATATTTGTTGTTTTCTTTAATTCAAGATACTATTATTTTATGCTATCTATTTAGTATGGTCAAAGCAAAAATTGGTGTTAAAGCCTCTCCATGTTTTAATTTTTATTTGCATAACCTACAAAGAAAAAAACACTAAAGGCTGGAAATATAAATTGACATCATTTCAATTACCTCCAATTTTTCTATTTTTCAACAATTACAAAAGATCCGAAATGGATGACAAATCTGATGAATTTTTGAAAATCGACATTCCCATGTAAACCGATGGCAAAAAATGGTAGGGTTCCCGTAAGTCATTTGACAGAATATTCACTCATCCGAGTTCTTGCAAAAAAAATCAGGGAGTCAATTGAATTTACTAGCTTTATTTAACAAAAAAAATGATACGTTTCTTTAGGTTCAAAATGTTATATATATAGGTCTTCAAACTAAAAATTAATTTCCAAAAAACTCCTCCCATTGAAATAACATAGGAGACAAAAATGATTTTCAAAAATGACTTTGAAGCTCTGTAACTTTAGTATTTATGAAGTAAACTAAACACTTAGCTTACAAAAAAAGTTTTTTGTTGAATCTTTTACTTGATAAGTATCCTGAAATCAGATTTGCCCCAAACCCACCATTTCCCACTGGTTTACTTGGGAATGACGATTTTCAAAAATTCATTAAATTTATCATCAATTTCTGACCTATGGTAATTGAGGAAAAATTTGGGAAAAAATTGTAAATAGAAATTCAAACATAAAGAGGCTCTAACACCTAGTTCAATGAGGGAGCTTGGGTTGCCAAATTTTTGGAGGGGGTGTACCAAAAATAAAGAGATGATCCGGCTGTTTCACCATTTTGCATCGTTACCTTATTTTATCTATTCATCTCTCGTTTCTGTAACATCAAGATTATAATGTGGAATTAGAGTTGTACTTATAGTCATTTCAGTGGTAAGCTCCAATTGCAAATAACGTTAAACATCTTCGCGATGAAAGATCCTGTCTATTGATATCATACCGGATAGTAGGACACCAGTCCAAGTCTTTTGCAATATGTTCATGTTACATTCAGTCCATGACGCTTTACTTACAGAGAGGTTGTTGCAGCAGGTCCTGCGGGGTCCATTTTATCTACAGCAGACGACATGGCTTTGTGGCTCCTGTTTCATATCAACCATGGGAAAACTAATAAAGGAGAGGAATTAATCGATCACGAAATTCTAGATGTAAGATACACGAAACGTTTTGATTTCTGTCATGACCGAATGCAATCAAATTGTTCAGTTTGTTATGGTCAGTGGTTAAATGTTGACTGTTATATAAGTCTTCCTTCATACCCACTAGATCTTCCGTAGTACTGCTTCGGGGTGCACTCGACCGTAGAATAGTAGCTTTCAATTGAAATCTCGATAATTCTCGTTTTTCGTGATTCAACTTTTTCAATTTATCTAACAAGAACACAAATGTGTACAAAATGTCCCCACCAATGGGTGATCCAGTCAAATGGTTATCCTGAAAATGAGGAGACAAGACTCTACCGACACAATTTGAAGTCAGAAAATCCAAAATGGCCACCTTAAAATTTACCCAGAATGCCAAAAGATTAGTCAGTTCAAGATTTTCATACTAAGAACCAGCCCTGTAAATCTTAAATTGATCCATCAAACAGTTAACCAGAAAACGTGTAAACAAGATTTTACAGACAAGATTTTAGGATGGAGAATTCAAAATAGCTGCCTTGACATTTACCCAGAATGTCAAAAAACTAATCAGTTCTAGATTTTCATACTAAGAATCATCCCTGAAAATTTGAAATCGATCTACCAAACGGTTCACCTGAAAACGCGTAGACAAGACTTTACAGACAAGATTTTAGGACGGAAAAATCCAAAATGGCCGACAAAAAAGTGATTATGAGTTTTTGCTGATTTCTTTTTACAAATTATCACATATAACTACTGTTAAAAATAACATAAGCTTTTAAAACAAAGTTCACCTGAAATTATTTATAAAGCTATTAAAAAATTTAAGTATGAAAACTAAAAAACACCATTCAATATGATACAAAGTATTATCGCGCGCTAATTTGGCAAAATGGCAAAATGGTGACATGAAATTCAAAATGGTCCAAAACCTAATCAGATGTAAAATGAAGTGAGCTGAACACGATTTTTACGTTTTAAAAGCAACTGTGAAGCCGTTTTTCTTAAAGTTTGCAGACAAGGATTCTAGCATTTGACTTCAAAATGGCCGACAGGAAGTAGGTATCGAGTTAAAAAATTTCCATCAACTTCTGTATGCACTCATAAGTAATCCCTAAAAATTTGAAGGTGATATCTGTAGCGGTTTTGGAGAAAACTGCCGGACGTACGGACGGACAGATAGACAGACAGACGGACGCGCCAAGGTCGACAATATGGCCCCACACTATGTGGTGCGGACATAAAAAGGCGTGGGGGAAATCTTCATTGATGCAAAGTTAAAAATTTTTAAAAGCTTTCTTTATTATCTATTCGTTAAACAACTAAACTAGTACTGTTTATATTAATCACAATATGTACATTAACATGGCCATTCCATAGATATTCATCCAACACCTTTTGATAAATCATAGAATATAAGTGACTACAATATTAACATTGAATATTAACATTGAACCCAAATGTCCATCCTTTGATATGGACACACTGTATAGAACACACTTTCCTGTTCACTTAAAACAGTGGATAACGAGTATTCAAGGCCAACACCATTGTGGTTTTCTGATGATCCCTTCCTGCAGAGACATATAAAACATATACTCGTATGTCTCTGCTTCCTGCGACATCCCTTCAGAAACTAAAAGCGTAGTATGGTTTTGCTAGATATTGTTTTTAGTGTTTTGGTTTTGTTTCGTTTTTATTAACAGGAGATGTATCTTGGTCAAGTGTCACAACCATCACGTATGGGCAGAGATTTGACAAAGCCTACATATCCCATTGATTCAGTCCAAAGTTCCTATAATTTAGGATTGGAAACATATTTTTATAGAGGTAATTTAATTAAAGGCATTACGATGTAATGACTAATTATTTATCTATACTGTATATAATATATTTCTCAATAGAATGGAATGTTTCTCGAATATTTGATTTTATTTGAACATATTTGATTGGGTCATAGTAGACGGTTGTTTGCTTGAATAATCAACCAACAAATGAATGCTTGCTCGATTAAATGGTTGATTGGGGAGCATTGACACTTTGTTTTCGTGTTGCATTTTCCTATTTGATAGATAATTTAAATTTAAATAAAATAATGCAAATTTGGAATAATAACACTGATTGAATTATCCAAGTCCTTTGATCCTGTTTAATTTCAGGGTTTAAGATGATAGGTCATCCTGGTGGAATACACAGTTTTCAATCAGACTTCAGAATCTTTCAAAGAGAACAGGCTGGTGTATTCCAAATCTTGAATGGCCCAGGTTCTTATAATGGTGGGACAGCAGTAAGGATGATACGAATGTACGTATCGGATATTCTACTTGGCCTTGACCCCTGGCTTAACAAAACGACAGCTTGTACATTTCCTGAACCTTGGGCTCCTGGCCCGCCTTCAGTAAATCCCGTACTGCCAGTATACAACGACACGGCCCTGAGACCATTGGTTGACTATGAAGGCACCTATGGACATCTTGCATTCGGAAATGTGACATTTACATTAAATGCCACCATCAATAAACTTTATATGAGATATGGACCTTTCTTTGAAGGTCATTGTTCTTATGATGCAACGCAAGGTGTGTTTATGATGTCATATGAGGGTATTTATAAATACCGAAATGATTATTTTCCGGCTAGATTTGCTACGAGCAATGCAACTGGAAATATTGATACTGTTTATTTGAAGATTGATGATTCACATCCACAAGCGTTTATCCGGGACTTAAAACTTACGGATGTCCCAGCTGATATCGTACCGACACAGGACCCTGCTTGCCCTACACGTGACCCAAGTGGCTCGGCAACTAAGTTTGCCAGAAAGAACAGTATTGCATTACTTACGATGACTTCACTCCTACAGATAATAGTGATATCGAACAGGACATAGCATAACGCTATCAATCAATACTTTATATAACATTAATACACACAAGTGCCATGTTAAGTCAATGTACCTTTGCTGAAATCCTAATTTCCCCAGACTAGCCCAAGATGGTCGAATCTAAGCAAGTACATTTATATGGAACAGCCGTGCCAGAATCCATTTTAGTGGTAAGAATAGGGGTTGTTATACGGGACATTAAAGCTGAACTCAGGCGTTTTTGAAAATGTTGGTTACTACTAGTAATTATGAGTTCAACTATTCAACTTACTGGATGATGAACCGACCATTTCATAATTTTGAGTTGAGGTATTTTCTCAAATATATTGGTAAAGATTGAAAGGTGGATTGGATCGAGTGGATTGGATTCATGTAAAAGGTGGATTGAATCGGGCATCTTATAAATATGGAATTTCTTTAATATTTTTAATGTTTTGATCTCCCTCAATGTCTGGTACACAATCTTATTCTTTATGAGTAAAGTTTAGACAATCCATAATTCATAAGGCAGACTGCTTTGAAGATCCACATCAAAGTTTTCAATCCAAACAAAATATAGCAGAAATATTTTGGTAACTTCCACACATCCATTTGAAAGACAGCTTTTATCTACTGATCTATCTTTATTATGCCTTACATATGTTTCAGCTGGGCAGTAAATAGCAGGTTAAAGGTGCTTAAAGAAAATTTTCTTTACAAGATCATACAGGAACATAGCCAGGAGTTTTTCAAGGGGGTTTAACTTTTTTTAATTCCAAGGGTTCACTTTTTACAACATTGGCCCAAGAATGGCTATTATTACTTAAAAAATGTTCAGAATGGTGAAAAACTACATGATTTTGAAAGATCTTTTTGCCCAAGGGTGGGGGGGAGTTCCCTTGACCCCCCTCCCCCCTGGCTACAGGCCTGATTATCATATATTTTATGTTACTCTTTTGAATGTTGAGTTGCAATGTTATTGCACTATTGCCTAATATCATTCTCTAAAATGAAGATACATGAATGAAGATATTTCAGGGGTAACAATTTTGATGTCATCACTGTGATGAGGTTTCTTGATAAATCCTATTACTTTCAGTAAATAAAGACATCATTTTTGTTAAATAAAATTCAAATCCAATTGTCTACTTAACTTAACGAAGGTACTAAAATGAATTATATTTCCCCTCCCAAAATAGTTTTTTCTTTACAAATTTGCATATAAGAATTCAAACCTAAAGATGCTTTAATACATAATCCAATGGGTTAGTTAGGATTGCCAAACTTTTGGAGGTGAATAAAATAGCCGACGTGGGCTATTTTGAAGGGAGGGAGTTAGGTTGCAGGTATATATTTGTATTGAAATATATCCTTCCATCCAGCATAGTGTAGTCATAGCAGATTTACACACAAATGAGTTTACTTTTATGCACCCTCTGTTCAACATAATATTTAAATTTGATCTTTAAACCATGAAAATACCATATTTTGCAGAATCCGAATCTAATCCACCTTTTCGATGAATACAACTCACTAAATCCAATCAACCTTTTAATCCTTACCAATATATTTTCTCCGATAAATCAAATCGTTGGTGCAGATAAGATTTCTCCAAAGCAATTCGATCACAAGTTGTTGATTTCATTTAGCAGAAAGTTGATCAAAAAGTCCACAAGTTTCCAGTACAAAAACAATATGGTGACTTTAGGCAAGTCAACTAGATTAGTCCATGTTAAGGAATGAAGGGAGTTCGGTCAATTCCAGTTTGTTAAAATCGTCTTTAAGATAAAATACGTTTATAATGATTGTGTCAACATTGACAGAGAAAATTATCCAAAGGATGCATGTATATCAGGACTCAATATTAATCCTTGTATTTATCCAAACTGGTGAGTTGCATTTGTAGTACATTGCATAAGCCATGCTATGTGCTAAACTGCTAATACGTGATGGGTAAAAGATGTCAATTTTTCTTAAAGAAAACACACAAAAAGAAGATCCTAAACATTACCTATAAAATATGAAATTGATTTGTCAAAATAAAAATCTCCCTTTTTATGAATATGTGACGATCTATAATATACTATTACTAATGCTATATAACAGTTAGAGGTGTTGACAAATAAAGCATTTCTCAGAATAAAAAATGATAGCCTAACGTGTCTCTCATTTTAATTTAATGTTGTATGCGTAATCATGATTTTTCTTTAAATATAAAAACTATTAAAAGGTGACGTTCTTTTCACCCACAGATAAATATGTAAATTAACAGGCCAAGTCTTATCATTTTGCAATGGTTGCACTGGTTATACTTATTTATCGCCCCTCACTTGACATTATTAGGCACATGGTTTAAAGACTCGACAATAGATAAGTAGTTCAAAGATTACTCTGTACATAAAGATAAATGTATCACCAAAAGAATTATTGTCATCATAATTACCATAAGTGTTCACGATGAGTCGCAATTCTGTTTTGATATTGAGTCAATTTATTCTAATTCTCGGATTATCGCATCTGACCCCGATCTATGGATTAACGGACACACAGAAACAAAGCATTGACGAATTTGTGCAAAATGTGATGAAATGTCGAGGAATTCCAGGATTGGCGATATCCATAGTTCATAATAATCAGGTCAGAGGCTTTGAATATTGGAGACTTAAAGCAATGCATATAAAATCGAAAAGTCAACCTGTACGCTTAAGTTACCCTATACAATGCACATGTAATACATTAGAAATGAGCATTTTCGCTATAATTTGCAACAAAAAAACTTTATCCACAAAACAGCTAATGTTGCAAACAGAATGCCTCTGTCCTAAATTTTGTGTTTCAATATTTTTTTCGTTAATTGATTCAATTGTTAAAGCTAGAAAACAAAATTCCAATGAGAATTTAATATGGTACAATCGATTAAAATTTTCCATCTTAAGATATTTCAGTGGGTTACCTATTTTAGTTAATCCTCTAGCTAGTATAATGTTCTTGTATATATACTCAGGGATAATATCAAATCCAGTTGTATTCAGTTTACTGAGAGAGGGATAAGTGAAAAGATCCAACGATAAAAAGTCTGACATTAACAACTCCCATATATTCTTTGTTGATGAATGTTCACGTGGGAAGAACTGTAGCAGCCTTAAATGTGTCCTGAGAACTATAGATAAGGGCAATGGTAAAAAAGTGTTGTTTAAATAATTCACGAAGGGATTACCCTTTTTTCATTCCACATATTATATGATTATTATGACCTCTGTATAAGTAGACAATCGTATTGAGGAAGTGGACCCTGTAATCATCAACCTCGAAACAGAGTTTAGAGAGCTTAAACTCTCTAATATCATGGGGACGTTGTCAAAATGATCTATAACTAATGAATCGCTCTCTGTAAATGCCCCACGCGGATGGTTATAACTGTATAGTTGTATTTTAAAACAACTAAACCGAGTGACATAGCTTTTGCATTTTAAGATAGCGTACACAAAGGGATATGGCTATTCCGACTTGGAGAAGAGCGTTGAAGTTACTCCACAAACGAAGTTTGCCATTGGTTCAGTGACTAAGAGTTTCACGGCAACATTGTTGGCAGACATGATTGACAAGGCTAGAGATTATGAAAAGTGAGATTACTGCTACGTTTGTCAACCATATCATTTGAAATCATACTTAAAATCATACCATACCGTAAAATGGTAAATATCAGTACTTAATGAAAAAGGCCTATTACAGAAGTTCATCAAATAACTGACCCTTTTTTATTTTAGGCTTAACTGGCACACGCCTCTGAATGAGATACTTGGACAAAATTTCAAGTTGAACACGAGTTATTTGACCGAACTGACAACATTGGTTGATATATTATCTCATAAGACGGGAGTTCCTGGATACCAGAGTGTCCTTACAGCCGGGGTCTTTGCGAACTTGACGAGGACGGAATACACAAGGTAAATACAATATTTATTCATTTTTACAGCTGTATCGAAGTCATATTGTACTGGAAGAAATACGCATTTGATTATTTAAATGATGCCCTCCTATTGGAAAAAGTGCCCACTAATCCTGGAAAAGACCATATTCATTCGACCATGCACTTCATTTTAGATATATATGTAAAAGTCTATGATAAGACAAATTTCTAGAATATACATAATAATAAAAACAATTTTCATTCATGATATTAGGCGTCTTCGGTTTCTTGAGCCCGAGTTCGCTGTGAGGAATGGTTGGATATACAACAATCATATGTACATGTTGGCTGGTCATGTGGCTGAAATACTTGCAGACGACACTGGGAATATATCTTGGGAAAATCTTCTAAAAACGCATATTTTACTACCAATAGGGATGAATTCCACCAGATTTGTTACACTGAACGAAACATGGGAAGATGTTTCAAAGGCTTACGTCCTTCTTGATGGAAACTTGACCTATGTCGGCATGGATATGATAAAGTATGTATTATATTTGTTGTTTTCTTTAATTCAAGATACTATTATTTTATGCTATATCTATTTAGTATGGTCAAAGCAAAAATTGGTGTTAAAGCCTCTCCATGTTTTAATTTTTATTTGCATAACCTACAAAGAAAAAACACTAAAGGCTGGAAATATAAATTGACATCATTTCAATTACCTCCAATTTTTCTATTTTTTCAACAATTACAATAGATCTGAAATGGATGACAAATCTGATGAATTTTTGAAAATCGACATTCCCATGTAAACCGATGGCAAAAAATGGTAGGGTTTCCGTAAGTCATTTGACAGAATGTTCACTCATCCGAGTTCTTGCAAAAAAAAATCAGGGAGTCAATTGAATTTACTAGCTTTATTTAACAAAAAATTGATACGTTTCTTCAGGTTCAAAAAGTTATATATATCGGTCTTCAAACTAAAAATTATTTTTCAAAAAACTCCTCCCATTGAAATAACATAGGAGACAAAAAATGATTTTCAAAAATGACTTTGAAGCTCTGTAACTTTAGTATTCATGAAGTAGACTAAACACTTAGCTTACAAAAAAAGTTTTTTTGTTGAATCTTTTACTTGATAAGTATCCTGAAATCAGATTTGCCCCAAACCCACCATTTCCCACTGGTTTACTTGGGAATGACGATTTTCAAAAATTCATTAAATTTATCATCAATTTCTGACCTATGGTAATTGAGGAAGAAATTGGTAAAAATTTGTAAATAGAAATTCAAACATAAAGAGGCTCTAAGACGTAGTTCAATGAGGGAGCTTGGGTTGCTAAATTTTTGGAGGGGGTGTACCAAAAATAAAGACATGATCCGGCTGTTTCACCATTTTGTATCGTTACCTTATTTTATTTATTCATCTCTCGTTTCTGTAACATCAAGATTATAATGTGGAATTAGAGTTGTACTTATAGTCTTTTCAGTGGTATTCTCCAATTGCAATTAACGTTAAACATCCATAGTGACTTTCATTTCGCGAAGAAAGATCCTGTCTATTGATATCATACCGGATAGTAGGACACCAGTCCAAGTCTTTTGCAATATGTTCATGTTACATTCAGTTCCATGACGCTTTACTTACAGAGAGGTTGTTGCAGCAGGTCCTGCGGGGTCCATTTTATCTACAGCAGACGACATGGCTTTGTGGCTCCTGTTTCATATCAACCATGGGAAAACTAATAATGGAGAGGAATTAATCGATCACGAAATTCTAGATGTAAGATACACGAAACGTTTTGATTTCTGTCATGACCGAATGCAATCAAATTGTCCAGTTTGTTATGGTCAGTGGTTAAATGTTGACTGTTATAAGTCTTCCTTCATACCCACTCGATCTTCCGTCTTACTGCTTCGGCGTGCACTCGACCGTAGAATAGTAGCTTTCAATTGAAATCTCGATAATTCTCGTTTTTCGTGATTCAACTTTTTCAACTATCTAACAAGAACACAAATGTGTACAAAATGTCCCCACCAATGGGTGACCCAGTCAAATTGTTATCCTGAAAATGAGGAGACAAGACTCTACCGACACAATTTGAAGTCAGAAAATCCAAAATGGCCACCTTAAAATTTACTCAGAATGCCAAAAGATTAGTCAGTTCAAGATTTTCATACTAAGAACCAGCCCTGTAAATCTTAAATTGATCCATCAAACAGTTTACAGACTTTACAGACAAGATTTTAGGATGGAGAATTCAAAATGGCTGCCTTGACATTTACCCAGAATATCAAAAAACTAATCAGTTCTAGATTTTCATAATAAGAATCATCCCTGAAAATTTGAAATTGATCTACTAAACGGTTCACCTGAAAACGCGTAGACAAGACTTTACAGACAAGATTTTAGGACGGAAAAATCCAAAATGGCCGACAAAAAAGTGATAACTACTGTTAACAATAACATAAGCTTTTAAAACAAAGTTCCCCTGAAATTATTTATAAAGCTACTAAAACATTTAAGTATGAAAACTCAAAAACAACATTCAATATGATACAAAGTATTATCGCGCGCTAATTTTTCTTAAGGCATTCTAAATGGCAAAACGGTGACATGACATTTAAAATGGTCCAAAACCTAATCAGATGTAAAATGAAGTGAGCTGAACAAGATTTTAACGTTTTAAAAGCAACTGTGAAGCCGTTTTTCTTAAAGTTTGCAGACAAGGATTTTAGCATTTGACTTCAAAATGGCCGACAGGAAGTAGGTATCGAGTTAAAAAATTGTCATCAACTTCTGTATGCACTCATAAGTAATCCCTAAAAATTTGAAGGTGATATCTGTAGCGGTTTTGGAGAAAACTGCCGGACGTACGGACGGACAGATAGACAGACAGACGGACGCGCCAAGGCCGACAATATGGCCCCACACTATGTGGTGGGGACATAAAAAGGCGTGGGGGAAATCTTCATTGATGCAAAGTTAAAAAATTTTAAAAGCTTTCTTTATTATCTATTCGTTGAACTACTAAACTGGCCATTCCATAGTATGCCATTCGAGTTTTAAATAGATATTCATCCAACACCTTTTGATAAATCATAGAATATAAGTGACTACAATATGATACGCCTTTAACATTGAACCAAATGTCTATCCTTTGATATGGACACACTGTATAGAACACACTTTCCTGTTCACTTAAAACAGTGGATAACGAGTATTCAAGGCCAACACCATTGTGGTTTTTTGATGATCCCTTCCTGCAGAGACAAATAAAACATATATGTCTCTGCTTCCTGCGACATCCCTTCAGAAACTAAAAGCGTAGTATGGTTTTGCTAGATATTGTTTTTAGTGTTTTGGTTTTCTTTCGTTTTTGTTAACAGGAGATGTATCTTGGTCAAGTGTCACAACCATCCCGTATGGGCAATGATTTGACAAAACCTACATACCCCATTGATTTTGTCCAAAGTTCCTATAATTTGGGATTGGACACATATTTTTATAGAGGTAATTTAATTAAGGCATACTAAGTAATGACTACATTTTATCTATCGGCTCGAATATTTGAACATATGTGATTGGGTCATAGTAGACGGTTGTTTGCTTGAATAATCAACCAAATTAATGCTTGCTCGATTAAATGGTTGATTGGGGAGCATTGACACTTTGTTTTCGTTGTGCATTTTCCTATTTGATAGATAATTTAAATTTAAATAAAATAATGCAAATTTGGAATAATAACACTGATTGAATTATCCAAGTCCTTTGATCCTGTTTGATTTCAGGGTTTAAGATGATAGGTCATCCTGGTGGAATACACAGTTTTCAATCAGACTTCAGAATCTTTCAAAGAGAACAGGCTGGTGTATTCCAAATCTTGAATGGCCCAGGTTCTTATAATGGTGGGACAGCAGTAAGGATGATACGAATGTACGTATCGGATATTCTACTTGGCCTTGACCCCTGGCTTAACAAAACGACAGCTTGTACATTTCCTGAACCTTGGGCTCCTGGCCCGCCTTCAGTAAATCCCGTACTGCCAGTATACAACGACACGGCCCCGAGACCTTTAGTTGACTATGAAGGCACCTATGGACATCTTGCATTCGGAAATGTGACATTTACATTGAATGCTACCATCAATAAACTTTATATGAGATACGGACCTTTCTTTGAAGGTCATTGTTCTTATGATGCAACGCAAGGTGTGTTTATGATGTCATATGAGGGTATTTATAAATACCGAAATGATTATTTTCCGGCTAGATTTGCTACGAACAATGCAACTGGAAATATTGATACTGTTTATTTGAACATTGATGATTCACATCCACAAGCGTTTATCCGTGACTTAAAACTTGCTGATGTCCCAGTTGATATCGTACCGACACAGAACCCTGCTTGCCCTACACCTGATCCAAGTGGCTCGGCAACTAAGTTTGCGAAAAAGAACAGTATTGCATTACTTACGATGATTTCAATCCTACAACTGATGAATAGAAAAACATGTTAATATAGTTAAGGTTTACGAAAAAGACCGACCGCCGACGACCGACCAGTCCGAATCTCCACATTTGGGTACACGTGGTCGGTAGTCGGCTGTCGGTCTTTTACATAAAGATGAAAAGGTGCAAAATTTGAAGAGGAAAATAAAATCAAAAACTAGGAATCCAATGACTAGTAGTCCTACCCTTACAAAGTCGAGATTAGAATGTGTTTAAATCACGGTTCAAAACTCACCATGATGAAAAACATAACATCGTCGTGGTCTTGAATGTCATATCTATAAGTGAGATATCTCACCAATTTGTTAGAAGACCAATTTTATTCTTGGTAGTCACTTTGGATCATGATGAGAAAACGCCCATAATATTACATTACGTTCCAAATAAAAATAACAATTAACATGCTTTGTCGGTCTTTAAAATCACGTCGTCTTCTTTCTAAAAGATTACTAGAAATACATATATAATGTCTATCATATCCGAAGCGTTTTGAGGAAAGTCAACAACTTGAAAAATGGCAAGTGGCAATGATCATATTCCCAAAGATTTTTTGAAAAATGGCAGGGACTCTTAGTAATCTTCCATTTCAAAATTGTTTATTAATAACTTTTTCAAACTTATGGAAACTATCCCAGATGATTGGTATGAAGGAACCATTAACCCCATTCATAAAGATAATGATCGTATAGAATTAGGCAATTACCGAGGCATCACAACCACCTCCAACGTGTATAAACTATATGCTAGCATTTTAGAAACAGAAATAATGACCTTCCATTTCAATTTTCCAATGTTTTCTCAAAGTTTCTGTACAACACTTGGGTTACCATGACGTTTTACCAAGTTTATTAAAAGAAGATAATGTGATAATTTTTCCTGAAGAACAAGGAAAAACACACATGCCATCAAAGTAGAACTCCCCCTTAAAAACGTTTGTTTTGTGAAGTGCAAAAAAATGAACCCCAGAGTAAGAGCACTGACGCAGACGAACCCTATGATAATGAAGCACCTGTTACATGATTGACAATTGAGCCTGGCCATGGGAAAACCGGTCTTATCACAAAAATTAAAATTGTGCTACAGAGCCAAAAACGTGCCCAAGATTAAGAGGAAAATGTGCTAAATTTGGTCTATATATGCAAAGAAAAATCGTTAAGTCATAAGTCATGGCTCATTTGAAAGGTCTTTTTGTTCTTTTTAAGATAAACAAAAAAACAAATTATTGAAAAAGTCTGTGATAAGACCCCTTTTCCCGTGGCCTGTCTCAATTATACTTTTGCAGTTTATGATGGTGCTTGGTACATTGGAATAGAAGTTAATGTGGATGGCGAGCTACAGAACATCATTTATGATTAAGAGACGTACGGGTGTATTTTCTATGCCCTTCATCAGAACATGTACTCTGGGTAGTCGTTCTTAGCGAACGTTCTTTGCCAAATAGTGGATCTGATTCCCAAATTGGAGGATGCAAGAATGTCAATGGGAACTCCAGGAAATTCTGATATTGCACGCTTTCTATTTTTCCAAATTGTCTTTTAAACGGTCAGACAACACAGGAGCTAACATTGACCTGTTTCCATGTTTACTAAAAGTAGACAATGTAATGATACTTTCCTGAAAAAGCAAGGAAATATGCACATGCCTTCATACTTAATTTTGTACCAGAAAATAACATGTGCAGGTATAGCAATTTTTTACCACTATGTTACTTTCCGGCTGAACAACTTGTGCAGGGGGGGGGGGTCATTCAATGATCATCGACCAGTGTCAAAATATATTTAAGTTTGGATATTTCATCAAGATTAACATTATATTTTCATTATCTACAAAGAAACCCCCTGGATGAACATTTTTTCAGCTGATATTCCTTTTGAAACGTGGTGAATCTTAAAACTAAACCAATAAAAAAGTGGGACTCCCTTTATAGAAGCTTGGACTGAACTTATACTTCTTGCTGAAATTGATAGTTTATCCATACATTTTAAGAAAATAGGTATGTCAAAGAAGGTTTTAAGCCAAATATTGACCTGCTACATGTAGCTCGGAAAAAATCTCTACAGTCCTTGTGAAATAGACACGGCTGTGAAGCTCCAAGTGTTCTGGGCTACCCAAGTATTCCGACTCTTGCCGAAGTATTCTGACTTGGCCCAAAAGTACCTGGGTTTCATTTTATCAAATACACTCGATACGGTGATTTTCAATTTCTAATATCAATTTTAGGTTTCTACAGAGATGACTGTTGGAATTAAGCTAATGAAACCACTTATAATGTGGCTGCCTCCGTACATTAAAGGCTTTCCATTTATGTATATAAACTAACAGGGTACCCGATTGAGCAATAGAATATTTAGACAGAATAAATCAATATAATTAGGCTGGGTCTGATCAATTTCGGGAACATACACGTACCTCATTTTTGGAAAATGGGCCTTTAGAACAAATGGGCCTAGATTTTAAAAACTGGGTCAAAACTTTCAACGAGCCAACATTTTAGGACTCTCTTTTTTTCATTCTAGCATTTTTCCAGCAAAATTTTATTTTTTGAACTCTCTCGTGAATAATAAGATATGATAAAATAAGCGATCTCGGAACACTTGGGTTGTCAGAACAGTTGGGCAAGAGTCGGAACACTTGGGTCCCCACTTGGGTAGCCCAGAACAGTTGGGCCTCCACACACGGCCTTTACTATACACAGTCCATATAATCAATCACAAAATATATGCTGTTACAATATATTTTGATCTTATTCATAGGAGATATTGGCTTAAAATATGCTTAAAATAATATTGACTTCAAAAGTCAAAAATAATTTTGATAGTATTGTAAAAAATGTACTTATTCTGGAAGAATTGGAATGTGTTTCTAATAATAGTAAAACTCCTTGCGTGAAAATACTTAAAAATAGATAACCACGCGATGTATGGTTGTGATTAGATGATGAACAACATATGAAAAGGTGAGATATGATTCGATAATCCATATTTATATCTTTGTGATTTGTAATAAGGCATAACAATCTAAGAGTTGACTGGAATGACAAAATACTCTATTATCGCCCACATTAATTTTTATTTAGTCTCCGATGAGTGTGTACTGGTCAAAGAAGAGTTACGGGAGGTCAATGTTGATGCTTCCTGGAAATTCTACTAAAAGATTGTTAGATATATCTAGTAAAGATTCGCAATAATAACTTGAACTAATTCAGATCCTGGCTTGTGGGAAGCACAGGTTCCTGTGGTGGGAAGATCTTACCTTCTTCTAAGTCCACTGTATCGTGGCCTTCCAGTAAAGATATATTACCGCATGAACAACTGCTCATGTCGTAATCATAAAATTTGAAATAATATGTCCGCCATTTTGGGTTTTTCCACATCACAATTTGAATTGCGAGTTTTGGTCTTATTACCTCACCAAAAATTCCAAAACACACATAAAGTGATCAGTGTATTAGTTCACATCTTATGAATCGCTAACTTAGAATTTACAGCCAGTTACTAATGTCAGACATTAACGACATTTCGTCCAGTTTTCGAACATCGCCATTTTTCTTGGAGCCATTTTGTTTTAATTTTAACGAAATCCTGATGAAATCATGTCATATCTCATCAAGGAGCCGAGCGGGGTCCGTTTTGATTAATGATTTATTTATCTGGCGATTTTTAAAATATTCAATAAATTTATGACACCACGGCCAGCTTTTTTCAAATTGAGTTCACAGTATTCCAGATGAAATCCCCTCAAGCCAAGTATTGGCTAGAGACTTGAGTAAGGAAGATCACAACAGGTTGTGCTCGATGGTGAATCAAGTTCAAGAACTCCAGTAAAATCAGAAGTTCCTCAAGGAACAGTTCTTGGACCACTCATTTTCCTTGTTTATATCAATGATATGGGCAATGACCTATCATCCTAAGCCAGTTTCAAACTATTTGCTGATGACAGCCTTTTATTCACGACAGTCGAAAGTAAGCAAGATGCATTAACACTACAGGAGAATCTTGATAAACTGGTCTCCTGGGCATCAACATGGCAAATGAAATTCCATCCATCAAAATGCTATGTGTTAAATATTCACAAAGGTAAATCCCATACCTAGGTATTGACATCACAAATAACTTACGCCGGACTATACATATTCAAACTATTGTATCCAAAGCCAATAGGGTGCTTGGATTCCTCAGGCGCAACCTCCATCAGTGCCCTGAAAAAGTGAAGGCTCAGGCGTATAAGTCACTTGTCCCGCCTAATTTAGAGTATGCCAGCTCGGCATGGGATCCATACCGACAAAAAGATATTGATATGTTGCACCCTATGCAGACAGAGCCTGTGGGAAATATTGGGTGCGGCGCAAATGAGCGGAGGGTGCGGAGCTAACGGTCATTTTTGAATTTAAAATTGGGATATTTCTGAAACTAAGCCGTTTTGGGACTTCAAATATACCAAGATATGTGTATTTGACACCAAATATCAATAAAATTGTGAAAATAGTAGTGCAATTCATTTTATAGCGACGCAGTATGCCTTTGACGTTTCCCAGACCTATATATTTTGAGACTTTCCTTTTAATACTGCGTCCCCAGCATTCATAAAAAATGGTGTTCAAGATACACTACCCATGCAAATTATTTTTGCATCTTGGAAGCCAGGCAGTATCTGTGTGATTTTATAAAAAATCGGAAATGTTCTTCAGATATGAGCCCCCTCTAAATATTGGGTGCGGAGGTACGTTTATGGAGCTTCTCCGCACCCAATATTTAGAGGGGGCTCATATCTGAAAAACGTTTCCGAATTTTTATAAAATCACACAGATACTGCCTGGCTTCCAAGATGCAAAAATAATTTGTATAGATGGTGTACCTTGAACACCATTTTTTATGAATGCTGCGGACTCAGTATTAAAAGGATAATTTCAAAATATATAGGTCTGGGAAAGGTTTAAGGCACATTGCGCTACTATTTTCACAATTGTATTGATATTTGGTGTCAAATACACATATCTTGGTATATTTGAAGTCCCAAAACGGCTTAGTTTCAGAAATATCCCAAATTTAAATTCAAAAATGACCGTTAGCTCCGCACCCTCCGCTCATTTGCTCCGCACCCAATATTTCCCACAGGCTCTGTCTGCATAGGGTGTGTTGGAACAGGTACAGAGAAGAGCAGCCAGGTTTGTAACCAAATGTCACTCAAGGGAACCAGGCTGCGTCACCAAAGCTCTTCAAGACCTACAGTGGGGGCCACTGAAAGAGTGTCGAGAGGCTGCTAGAGTTTTCCTTTTTTACAAAGGAAAGCAGAACCTAGCAGCCATTGACGTGCCTTTATACTTCCACCAACAGATCAATACCAACACTAGGTTGTATCATCCTTCTAAGTTCATACAACCATCAACTAGAACGGATGCATACAAATTTAGCTATTTCCCTAGGACAATAGCTAAATGGAACACTCTACCTGGTGACATCTTAGACTGTGACAGTCTAAGTAGTTTTAAATCATCATGCTATGCCTATTATATTATCTGCTTCATATGAGCTTATTAGCCTTTTGCAGATTATTGACATAGACATAGACGGAATCCTTTCAATAATCGACATGCTGATTCAAACAACCCTACAGAGCAAGTTTACCCAAAAATGGTAGCAATCCAACCACTACTTGCTGAGAAATCAGAAGAATATGTAAAGAAGTGATTAAAATGCAAAAAACCGACATTTTTAACCTCAAAATTATTAGCTCCAGAGTCGATTTCTTCCTCAAGACACTTCCACTGTTAAAATTTGGTAGTTACTAGAGTTCTTTGTTTCCTAAGGTTCAGTCCTGTACGTATATTATTTTTAACAAAGGACAGCCTACAACGACTGCTATACGCAAAAAGATGCATGAAATTATCGTTTTGAAATGGAATGTTGAAAAGTGGCTGTATATGCCCTATGGTGTCTTTGTGAGATAATGTAACTCAAATGAAAATGGAAAAAAATGATATCGATGATTGTTTTGATGGTTTATTGGTTGGTTGCTTGGTTGGTTGCTTGGTAGGTTGTTTGGCTGATTGGCTGGTACTTTGAGTTCGAGGCCATTTGTGTAGATTGTTCATTAGGAGTCTCTAAGCTTACAGCTAGATGTAACTTCATTGATTTCGTATGCAATCTAGAATATTAATCATATTTAAGTTGAAGCGTTGCTTCTCTGGATCAAGATATATTAAAATTTATTTTCAGAAAGAACCTCAAACTCAAAGATCTGCCATTTTATAATACAGCTCATTCAGCAGAAAAATGGAGGCCATTTTGAAATTAAATTCCACTTCGCTAAATTAAAATATATATAACAATCGATTAGAACCGGGATTTAAGCTGATATTCTGCAAATGTGTATATAAAGGTATGTTTCCCATAATCATGCCATAACAACTGTGTGTGTGTCACCGTGATTTACAAATATTGAATATCAGAGTGGCTGTAAACAATCACCCAGAGTCGGAATATAGAGAAGGCTTTGGGCCTAAGTAAGTTTTGTCTACCATGAAACATTAGCTATGTAATTTACATACATTTATTATCTTTCCAAGATTCCACTATCGAAGAGACGCCATACCTAAAGCTAACTGTACTCCTGTATCCAAGAAAATTATCCCATACAGTATCTGAAGGAGGCTCCCATATAATATATACTGGGATTCAAACCTAGAGAACACCTGGGTGAAAAATGCAAAGAAAAAGGGACCGTTTGTACAGTGTCCATGTGGGTAATCTGCCAAAGACCATCACTAAGGTATGATGTGTGAACTGTATACAAAAACAAAATACATACTGTAAATGAAAATGATAGATTGATGGGACCGATTGTCTTATTTCACTCCAGGTCAAGTGAAACTATTTTGAGTTGACTGAGTCTGGAGGCTTTAATCTTTATTTAATTGTTGATAAAAATTTTCCATCTTTTCAAAAGTTGATGATTTGAACTGACACCATTAACTTTAAAGATTTGTTCCTTATCCATGGCTAATTAGAGATTTTCAGCTGGTCTTGTCATTTTAATGATGTTGTATCTAAACTTAGTATCTAAACAAATGCCGGTCAATATAACAAATTTTATACTGATTTTACAAAATGATCGATACAGTATTTTAAATATTTTTTTCAGAAAGAGCTTTTAACTTTATTCAATGGCTGTGGGAATGTGGTAGAAATACATTTACAAACTGTCAAACCAAGTGATACTTTTACATTTGGGTAAGTAGTTAAAAGTACTTGATTATTGTAATTTAACTGTTTTTTTTATTGTTTAAAGAGAAAGTGTTTATTAGAAGGAACAATTTAGTTGCTCCTTGATATTTGGTTTGTTATTGAGGTTTATTGATACCAAATGCCAGATTTCAACTTAAATCATGTTAAAGGAGTTCATAATTTTTGGGTTTAATGACAAATCAAGTCTAAGTGAATCATAGTATTGTACAGGGTGTCCCGAAAGTATGCCCCCCCCCCTAGGCAGACATATACCAATGTCTCCATAGTATGTGTCATATATCATTTTAAAGCTCATCCAAAGCTCTACATTGATTTGCCAATCATCATGGTTCAACTCACATATGTGATTTAAGTTTTAAAAAAAAAATTTAGTGTTTGGCCAAAATTAAAGTCAGTTTTACACCAAAATAATAGTCACTGTGTGTCTCTGCAATGCCTTTTATACATGACCTTAAACGCACTTCAAATAGGGATGTGGCATTGTAATCCTCATAAACCTTAAGGCATTTTAGAAGAGTTTCCTTGGAGATCTACCCTCAACATCCTCTTTATAGAACTCAATATCCATCCTTTCTTTGACAACATTCAGGACTATTTCAAGGATACTTAAATGAACTATATTTTTGGCCAAACACTACCATTTGTGAGTTGAACCAAATCAATGTAGCTTTGGATTATAAGCTTTAAAATGATATATGAGGTTTGTGTAAAGTAGCATGTTATTTTATTAGGTTTGTTCGCTATGCCACCCAGATGGAAGCTAGGAAGGCTGTGGAAGACATGGATAAGTGGCCTATGCATAGCAAACCTATGAGTGTAGCATGGGCCAAGGACCAACCCAACCATCGCTCTGTACCTGGTAGGCATGGTAGAATGTCTGTATGTACGTCAAACAGTTTTCTTCAAAACCGCTACAGATACATGTATCATCTTCAAATTCTCAGGAATAACTTTTGAGTACATACAGACGTGGAAAAAAAAATTTCATTCTGATATGTATTTCCTGTCTGCCATTTTGAAGTCCAATGCTAAAATCCTGTTTTGGACCTGTTAGCTCAGTCAAGGCAACCATTTTGAATGTCATAAGAAAAGTCCAGCGCTTGAATTAGGTTAGAAAATTTGTGAGTCCCAAGGACGCAATTTTTTAAAAAAAAAGTGTGTCCTTTGAAAAAAAGTGTGTCCCCTATTTCTAGCCTGTTTTGAGGTATAACTTTATTTTAAAAGCATTTTTTACCAAAACACCTTGAAGTTAATTTTGTCACATGATTGTCTTTGCTTCAACACAACAATAGGTCAGTAAAACATCTTTCCAATGTTACTTTTATTAACTGGCAAATTTGTTTCCTTTGGAACATCGCGTACAAATGACACACTTCATTCCGATAATAATATTGGAGTTTTTTTCCTAACTGGCTGTATAACCAATCGAACTCTGTTTCCCATTCGGGAATGCATGTTCTAACCTTACTTGTCATATTTTCAGTTTTTGATTTCTTGCCGCGAATTTAAAACGGAAGTAAACGTTAAGTACAGACTGAATAAATGCATGTTCGTTCATTCGACAATGAATACCTTTTATTTCATGAATAACCTAATATTTGTTTCTGAATAGGTAAAACTGTGGCGTGTCATGGTTTCAAATCTAAAAATAAATAAAGTCGAAAAAATTCGAGAGAATCATGATTATTTGTAAATATTCAACATGTTGAGCCTTATTTACGATTCAAATAAAGGTGAGAGATCAAAATTTTTTGTTTTTGTTATGTATCGTTGTAAACACATTGAAGTATTGACCTAAAAAAAATTTGCGTCCAAAAAACGGAAATATTTTCAATTTTTGCGTCCTCCAAATTATTTTTGAGTCCTTAACATGTACGAGACGCCATTAATGCAAGCCCTGAAAGTCCTGAAAGCCCTGAAAGTCTAATACTTTGTATATTTATAAGTTTGGATTTTTCATCATAAAATCTTATCTACAAAGTCTTGTCTACGAGTTTTCAGGCGAATCATTTGACGAATCGATTTCAAATTTTTAGGGATGATTCTATTGTATAAACATCTCAAAGTGATTAGCTTTTGGGTATTCTTGAAAAATGTTAAGGTGGTCATTTTGGAAAAAATATATGAGCTCAAACTATTAGTCATTAAAAATTAAGTTACAATTTTTTGTAATCTGAATAAGATTGAAACCTTTATCTTGGCTTCGAAATGGATATTAATTTGACTTATACTTTTATAATCATTGTTCATTCATTATGTCATGTTCAGGTAGTGCCACTGATGGGGGCTCATCCAGCCAGGTTGTGACACCAACAGAGGGTCAGCAGAATGATGCCAAGTACTGGATGCATTTGAGAAGTGTATAATTTGTATAATCCTTTGTTCATTCATTATGTCATGTTCAGGTAGTGCCACTGATGGGGGCTCATCCAGCCAGGTTGTGACACCAACAGAGGGTCAGCAGAATGATGCCAAGTACTGGATGCATTTGAGAAGTGTATAATTTGTATAATCCTTTGTTCATTCATTATGTCATGTTCAGGTAGTGCCACTGATGGGGGCTCATCCAGCCAGGTTGTGACACCAACAGAGGTCAGCAGAATGATGCCAAGTACTGGATGCATTTGAGAAGTGTATAATTTGTATAATCCTTTGTTCATTCATTATGTCATGTTCAGGTAGTTCAACTGATGGGGGCTCATCCAGACAGGTTGTGACGCCAACAGAGCGTCAGCAGGATGATACCAAGTACTGGATGCATTTGAGAAGTGTATAATTTGTATAATCCTTTGTTCATTCATTATGTCATGTTCAGGTAGTGCCACTGATGGGGGCTCATCCAGCCAGGTTGTGACGCCAACAGAGCGTCAGCAGGATGATACCAAGTACTGGATGCATTTGACAAGTGTATAATTTGTATGATCCTTTGTTCATTCATTATGTCATTATTCAGGTAGTGCCACTGATGGGGGCTCATCCAGCCAGGTTGTGACGCCAACAGAGCGTCAGCAGGATGATACCAAGTACTGGATGCATTTGACAAGTGTATAATTTGTATGATCCTTTGTTCATTCATTATGTCATTATTCAGGTAGTGCCACTGATGGGGGCTCATCCAGCCAGGTTGTGACGCCAACAGAGCGTCAGCAGGATGATACCAAGTACTGGATGCATTTGAGAAGTGTATAATTTGTATAATCCTTTGTTCATTCATTATGTCATGTTCAGGTAGTGCCACTGATGGGGGCTCATCCAGCCAGGTTGTGACACCAACAGAGGGTCAGCAGAATGATGCCAAGTACTGGATGCATTTGAGAAGTGTATAATTTGTATGATCCTTTGTTCATTCATTATGTCATTATTCAGGTAGTGCCACTGATGGGGGCTCATCCAGCCAGGTTGTGACGCCAACAGAGCGTCAGCAGGATGATACCAAGTACTGGATGCATTTGAGAAGTGTATAATTTGTATAATCCTTTGTTCATTCATTATGTCATGTTCAGGTAGTGCCACTGATGGGGGCTCTTCCAGCCAGATTGCGACACCAACAGAGCGTCAGCAGAATGATGCAAAATACTGGATGCATCTGAGAAGTGTAGCATCTAAACACAACCGGGAAAAGAAACACAAAGGAGGTATGAATGTATGATTTATTGTTTTTTCTCTATAATCTCAAATTGATATTTTTTGTGATCAGTAGAGTAGTTTAACATTAATAGGTAAATATTTCCCGGGAAAAAGCAGCTTCTACTCTGATTGAAACATACCTACATGTACTTGACTTGTAGGCCAATTACATCCAAAATTGATGTGTTTGCGTGATATGGTAGCGTTAAATTGGTATGAGACATCATGTGTTGGATTTCCAATAATCTTTTCTCTCAAGTTACCCAGATTTGCAGTTGCTAACATAATGTGTTATTTAGTTTGTTTCATTCTTAAGCTGCATTATAATTGCCCGTAAATGTTCTCTACCGATAGAGGGTCTGTTAAATAGCTTTGAAATATTATCCAAGTCTCGTTTTATAATGTGATTTTAAGAGACTTGAATTTGTAATCATTAAAGACTAAAGACTTTATTTGATTGCATATTTGAAAAGTTCTAATTTTCTCAACAAACATTTGTATCCATGGATTCATTGACATCATAGTAAAAGGAACATATGCTTAGAATCTCTAAACTATGCAGATTTTCTATTGATGACCCTTCAATTATAAGTGTAATCAATGAATTACATTTTAGAACGGCCTTTGGAGCTCAAGTCTTTGATGAAAGAAGCTCTGAGGTATGAAGCATTAATTCTGCGACCCATCACTCATGTAGGAGCTCCTGTTATGCTGGCAAACAATTTATTACAGGACACTACAGTAAGGTATGACAATCTTGTGGGGAATTAGATATGGAATGTGACTCTACTTTGAAGATAAAATTTCAAGAGCAATTCTAAGCTCTTTTTGAAAACCACCTTATTGTATTAGTCAGTAAATGTGCTAACAATTTAAGAATCCCAAAAGTTAAATATCCATTTGACTTCTTCAATATTTAAAACATAGTAACTTGTTAGCCAGATTGTATTATATTAATTGAAAAAAATTTCTTTGATTATCTTCGCCTTCACCTTAAACATGATTAACAAAGATAGATAGATGTCACTGCAACTGTGTGAATTTAACAAATTAACAAATATAGAAACTTAAATTTAATCACTTTAATTACAGAATAATGGCAATCATTTAAAACATTTATTCTGTCCCCAGGCACTTTAATAAAAATTAGTCCCTAAATTGAGATGACATTTTCAAGTTGGCCTGCTAGCTTAGCCGTGATCGTCTAGTGGTTAGGACCCCACGTTGTGGCCGTGGTAACCCAGGTTCGAATCCTGGTCACGGCAAGGCCAACATTTTTGTTTTATTATTTTGTTATTTAATTGAAGTTATCCTTGTAGGCTTCTGACTTGAAATTTCACTCATTTTATTCAATATGACTTGAAATTACTCAATTATTTTAATATTTATTGAAATTACACTAGATTTATTCAATGTTAATTCTGATGTTAATTCTGACTTTACACTCAATTCATTCAGTATTTATTCTTACTTGAGATTACTCAATTTATTTGATATTTATTAACTTACTTTCAGGAAAAGATCAGAGTCTGACATCACAAACAAACCGCTGATGTCACAAGCTACAGATGCTTCAAACCCAAACAGTCTCTCGAGTTCTAGTGGAACTGATACATCTAGGGAAATACCAACATCAAAGAGCCAACAATATCTACCAGATCCAAATCATGTATCATTTGATAAAGACCTCCAAAGTTCAGAAGAACTCAGGAATATTACAGGGGAAATGAAATTATCAAACCAACAATATCTACCAGATCCAAACCCTGTATCATTCGATAAAGACCTCCAAAGATCTGCTGAATGTAGGGATGTTAAAGGGGAAAGTGAATCCTTGAACTACGATTTTCCCGTAATTAGTCCAAAAAGGGATGATAATACTATGGATTCATCCTATGACTTTATGGATCAAAACAGTGTCAGTCAAAAGGAAGATAAAACTAGTGCTGAGATGCCTGAATTTGAAAATGATACCAACGACACCAGTGATGATACACCCTACTATGCAAATGACACAATTGCCAGTATATCTGAACCATTTGACACAGACTCTGACTCAGAGGCTCAAGATAAATCCCCATTATTTCCCGAAAAACATATTAATATTGAGGTCAATTGCAATGAAGAAGAAAGAAATTCACTTTTAGAGTGTATAGAAAGTCCAAGGAAGAATTTGAGCAAAGATGTACATGAGGACTTTGTTCCTAATGTTGCACCAGTGAGTATAGATTTGGGAAAATCCAGGAACTCTAGCATTGAAAAACCTCCTCATGATTTAGACAGTGATGGTGCTACATACAAAAAGGATACTGACAGCTTGAACTATGGCCAACAAAATCCAGTCGTACAACCTTTAAGGAAGTTTAAATTAAAGTTAAATACCAAAAATCTTGATTATTCAGATAGCGACAGTGATGATCTTAACTCACCTACTGAATCAAGCTCGACTGACTTTGATGAATATTTGAAGGATCATCCTGTCATGTCAACGTCAAAACCACCAAGTTTGAAGCATTCACAACAATCTAAAGATGTCACCACTGGGGTAGGTCCACTAGGTATTATTACAAGCCCCAAAGGAGAAAGTCCAAAGGGCATGAAAGTCAAGACACAAATCAGAGAAAGTCCTATGATGAATTCTCCAAGTGTGTACTCAAAAGAATCATTGAGCAAACAATTAGAAAATCGTGATAATAAAAGTTCTATAAATAAAAGTATGGAGAAACCTATTACTCATAGATCCTCCAATCAAGAAAGTGGTGCAATTGGATCCCCAAATCAAAAAACTGGTGTCATTGGATCCCCAAATCACGAGGCAATACCGACTCTTCAGACTCCACCAAGGCCCTCTGGCAATAATCCAGACACTGACATCTTAGACATACTAGACCGGTCACCTCTCTCTAGAGCACTCAAAAAGAAGAAAGCAAGACAGATGGAGGAAAATCTATACATCCCATAGCATTTTTGACATCCCTTGGTGTTGATGGCATTCCATGATTCCATCAATGTGGGTGCTGTTTTTGATGGAGTATAGCCTATTATATGGCTATTTCTTGTGCATTAAACAATATCTATGCAAGAAAATTTCAATTTAATTGAAAAAGTTGTTTAATGGTGCATTTCATAAACTTTAGTCCGCAGTTGTACAGTAGTATTTTAGATAACATATCATAATTCAACTGATTCTCAAAACAATTGTGACTTTTGACTCATGTAACTAAATAACAAAGCAGTGATGAACTGATGTAACTTTGGAAAAAGCTCCATGAAAATGCTTTATTTCTAAGCCTTTTTGGCATTGCTATTGTAAAAATGGACATCCCATTGTCAATTCTTCATTTTCATTTGATATGACATTTCTACATCTTAGGAATTTGATCAGATAATTATTGATTGATTTTGAAAAAAATTGTAATGATAAATAGCGATGTTTTTTGGATATCAGTATACCAAGGAAACAGTGACTGAGGGAAGATATCATAATTATTCAGCAGATATATATACTACAGTGTATCTTTTCCATGTGGAGAATAATTTATTCATCCCCTGATTATTAAAAAATTGGAAAGTATTAAAATGACATGTTTAATGTTATTGAAAAAACGACATTTTTGTATGCGATACAAAATGTTATTTTAAGATTGTTTTAAATAGGTATTTAATTAAATGTTTACCTTTATTCACCTAATGTTAAAGAAATCATGGGATAAATATGTTAATGTACATTTTATAGGCATATGCCAATGCACAGTCTGCTGTTCTAGAATATTGAATTGTTTTATGAATTTTACAAAGTGTTGGTTACTGTACTTAATTTGGTACTACTTATTCTGGCAGATTTGCTGTTTTGAACATTAAAGGGTTCCGATAAGCATCCCGTATAAAAACAATATGGCGGCTCCAGGCGAATCAACTGGATCAGTCCATTTTTAAGAAATAAGGGGAGTTCTGTAAATTCAGTTCATTGAAATTGTCTTTGAGATAAAGTAATCTGTTTATAATGATTTTGAAAACATTATCCATAGAGTGATTGCGTTCAAAGAAAACATGTACAACAGCAAATATAAATCCTTGTATTAGAACTGCTTTGTTTCATTGACACGTCACCCATAAATGTGGAATTGCTTTGTCAAAATAAAAATCACCCTTTATAAATTTGTGACGATCTATAATATACTTATGCTATATAACAGTTAGAGGTGTTGACACAACGACCTCTAGCCTGTGAACCCTTGAGTATTATTCCGGGATAGGGCCTCTTATACTAAACGGTGAGCAACACCAGAAACGAGGGTTCGATTTGCTAAACGATATGCGTCACCCTTTAAGCGACTACTTAATTTGGTGGACTTGCAATATAACATTAGATGCACTAATGGTACTAATTTACGTGGTACTAAAATCACCAGGAAATTTGGCAGCTACTTAATTTGGCGGACTTTACAATTTGGGAGACCTGCCAAATTAAGTAGAAGTACAGTATTAGGTTAGTTTAAACAACAGCGTTTTAGGGTCAATGTCAATATATATTTATGAATGTCCACAAATTATGTTTGTATAATGGGTTTTCTTTCTATCTGGTTGATATGCGCGAAATACTGCTAAATACAGCAATTCTCCTATGTACATGTACTTAATGTAAAATCCTTGTACTTCACTAACTGTCTACACAGCCTTTTGCTGCCTTTGCACGTGTTCACTTCTGTGGCTTTAAATTCTGTCACTTTCAACACTCAAAATCAATAAATGATGAGTTACTTTTGGGGGAAGGGGTAATTTAAAATAAACTGAAATTATATATTGGGACAATAATACATATTGAATTGTCCCTAAAAGTGTCAGGAAAGTAAAATGATTTGAATAATAATTTTATTATTATTTAAACATAGAGATATTGTTTAAATTAGAGCAATTTTAGTGAAACATTTTTTGACAGATTATTCTCATCACTCTCATCATTCCTAAGGGGGCGAGAAAAAACTGTCACTCTGAGTAGTCAAGAGGTTAATGTTTCAATCAAATATTGTGTGCAATATATGTGCAATTATAATTGGTCTATTTGAATCAAATAGTGTGGACTATATTCTATAAGATATCACATAGTCATATTATGGCCAAATAAAGTAGGCCTTTGTGAACAGTCATATTGTAAGTGATATCAAAGGCTAATCAAAAATATATTTAGGTGTTAAAATTTTGGTTTTTTTATTGTAAAACTTGCATTTAATTATGCATTAACCTATAAGTAAGTAGTGGAGAAACTGTGGAATTTAGTTCACAAATCAAAACATTTAAAGATCAATTCACAGTAAGGCCCCTTGGTGTTATAATTTAGCGGATATGTACATGCTTGTCATTGCCTACATGCTTGTCATTGCCTACATGCTTGTCATATGACCTTATAAATAAAAGTATTATTCATAAAATAAATACTGTTATGATTCCATCTTGTATGAGGTGAAACAGAGAGATGGTATGGGTAATTAAACATATATGTGACTGAACTGCAAACTGACCTTCACCAACTTTTTGCAAGAAATGTTCCTCTCTGTTTTTATGCCACCACCTGTCATTTGTTACAGACAATGTCACCATTCTAGGTTAATGTTAATTCCTAGTGTCTGTTTGCCAACGTATTTGCAGAATCTTGAATTTGCCATTCTTTCTTGCAAAATTCATTTATTTCACTTACATTTGATTTTCAGTTAACTTTCAGGAGTAAAAAGAGTGACTTGTATTCAAACATAAATAAGACCAAAGAAGAAATTAAACATACATTTCAAGTTACTGTCAAGTTACAAGTGGTGCCATATTATCAATAGTCTTCAACCTTGTTGTGGCAGCGCTATCTGTAACAAATGGTAGGTGGTGACAGTTTGAATGTTAATGCCTTGTTTATTTATCAATGTTGTTGACAGCCCAATAATAACATAGGGCTCGAACAGGGATATTCAAAATAAAGGACATTCATATATATACCTCACATATAGGTGACCACCTTTGATGACCGACAATAAAACCTTTGAACAAGAAGCACCCTTCAGACTGGCCAAAACTATTTTAGATAGCTTAAGAGAGCAATTAAATACAAAACTGATACAACAATATTTGAGATGTGTCCGATTCCTGCCAATCCAATCACAGTATTACAAATAACTGCACTGCATTATATATAACCAATAACCTACCCAAGGTAAAAACTTGATTCCACTGATTGAAATTGATGCTTTGCCATCTTGACCAAGTTTTAACTGAAAATATAGTATGTTCTTTTAGTGACTTTGTATCTTTTGGGCGATTTCTTGGAAAACATTTTGCCATGTATGAAAAGAATTTAAGTCCAACACTTTATGCAATAAAAATCATGGAGTCTTGTATGTATCTGTAGTTGTTATTATGATATCAAGGCCAATATGGTATTTTTCAATAAATTATGTTATGGACAGAAGCGAAGAGGATTTTACAAGGCAAGTTTGTTACAACACTAGTTTCCTATGTAATTTAAGTCCAAGACTTTATGCATTGTGGCTGATTTATTCCACTCAGGTTGTATTTCCTGAACTTCAAACTCGATGCTGTGCATCTTGTCCAAAGTTTGAAATAACACATTTTTGAGGAATGATTTAGTCCCTTAGTCCAGGGCATAGATCCTTAAAAAAAATTTCAATCAATGTCCAAGGCATATTTTACTAAAAAGTGTTTCAACACTGTCTTCTTGAAAATTCAAGCAAGCTCCATTTTTTGCAAGTTATTTCAAAAATAGTAGGACACTTTTTCTCATGTGTCACCCTGTACTGTATTCAGATATTGGAGTAAGCCTGTAACATTAGTAAAACAGTGAAGAACTTTTTGATCTACCCTCTTATTTGCAGGTCATACAAGAGGTATATAATCTAATAAAGTATTTATTCGAAGTAAATAACAACGTACATTCTAAAACATAATTCAGGGTCTCCTTATCTTATACACAATCATGGATTTTATGAATACAATTTTAATAGATAGGTACTGATATCAAACCAATGATTTTATAATATATTTTATTCTAATAAGGGTTTTGTATATGTTATTTATTCAATTTTTCTAGTATTTGTCCTGAGTGAAAAAGTGTTGTCATTTTCATAATAACAATCCACAAACATATGTAATGACCCGAGGGCGCCCTAGGGGAATGACTAACTAATTAACTAACGAGCATAGTGTAACAAGCCAGATAAAGAAATTGAAAGAAAGTGTGCTAAATTCAATGCCCCGTGTGGGAATCGAACCTAGGACCCTTGAATCCAAAGACTGATGCTCTACCGACTGAGCTATAAAGGCTTAAGCCACTACAGCTGGACTGTAGTAGCAACTTCCTATCAAGGGTCGTTACACTATCTCCCCCTTTGAAAGGACCACGCCCTCGTGGTCAGCCCTGCTTCCCTAGCAGTGACTACCATATACACAAGGGCGCAAAGGATACAACCAATGCTCTGATCCCACATCTGACACCAATGTAATGACCCGAGGGCGCCCCAGGGGAATGACTAACTAACGAGCATAGTGTAACAAGCCAGATAAAGAAATTGAAAGAAAGTGTGCTAAATTCAATGCCCCATGTGGGAATCGAACCTAGGACCCTTGAATCCAAAGACTGATGCTCTACCGACTGAGCTATAAAGGCTTAAGCCACTACAGCTGGACTGTAGTAGCAACTTGCTATCAAGGGTCGTTACACATACACGTATATATAATATACATGTATTTTAATGACATATTTGATTTAAGGGGCAGTGAATAATAGAAACAATTTATAAGGCATGCAAGTGATTTCAATATAATGATAATATTCAAAAATTCAGAGTTTTGACTAATACTAGTCCTCTTGTAAAATGTATTCAATTTTCATCATTCCTGTTTTCAATTGGACATTTCTTACTTTCTACCTCTTCTTTCTCCCAATAATTTTGATATTTAAGTTTACACTGAATAATGCTGCCATTTTAAGCATTTTTAGAAGCTAGTAAATTATACAGCCATTAATGAAAAAGCCCATGATCTGACTGACTTCACTATAATACAGTACTACAGTACTGCATCTACACTCATAGTTTGTAGTTCATGCTTCAAAATAAGATTAAGTGGTCTAAATAAAATACTACATGGTGTACCAAAAATGCAATCCAACTATCAAATTCTGCAGTATTGAATTCGAAACTTTGCTAACATAAAGAACATTGAACCAACTTTAATTATGCCAAAAGATTTGTCAAACTCTACTGATTAAAAAAGATGTGGGTTGCATTTTTAGTACACCCTCTATGACTTGTAACCCTTAAATAATGATGACTTGTAACCCTTAAATGTACCTGAGCACCATGTACAAAGAGTTATTGTTGCTCACCTTGATTCGGTTATAAAATAAAATATGTGAAATGAGTAATCTTTTGGTTAACAGTCCTTTTCACTATACACTTTGAGCCTCATTGGAAATATACTCCACATTTAAACGTTTTGTATAAAAACATTCACTGCCCTTCAAAATAATCAGGGTTGTTTTCATTCCATTCAGTATATTTTGCCCTTGCACTAACTTCTGGCAAGACAGATTTCTCAGCAGTTTTTGTAAACTGTTCAGATGCAGCAGTATTCTTTGTATTGATGTCCATACATTTAGCAGCACCATCAGTAAATTTAAGCTTTTTAGCGTTAGCAGTTTCATATTGAGCAATTGTTTTGGAGTTACAACGTTCAAGGCACACAACTGGAAGAAGACCATTGATGCTTTTAACTGCTTCCTCAGCAGTAGAATTAATTAAGGCAACATGGTCCATAGATGATGACAGTTCAATATTTTTCACAGGATTATTAGTCTCAATTTGAATCTTTTTATTCATATTTTCCATCTCAGATTCAGAATCAATTTCATCTTTGATGAAGTAATGGTACGCCATTCCAGTGGTACTAGACACACTGCCAAGAAGATGTGGAGTACCATTGGTACTAGGCACACTTCTGTGTGAAGTCCTTGTGTTTGTCATATTACCAAACTCTTCATTTAGGGGTTCAGTTTTGATTGCCCAGTTGACAACATTACCTCCTGTAACAGCTTCACTATCTCTGTCTGTATCTTCTGGTTTTCTTTTTCTTGATTTATTAGAGGTTGGTGTATCTGGTTTTGCAACAGTCTCTTCATGACGATGAGGGCATGAATTTTCTGCAACAGTCTCTCCATGGTGATCCGAGTGCATGTTTTCTCCACCAGAGTCTGAAACTGGCGAGTCATTGGATTGGTGTTCTCTCAACATTTCTGAGGCTGATACGATTCCTTGTTTATTCTTCTTATGAGAAATCTTAGCTGTCTTGAGATTTTGCGTAGTTTCTTCTTGCGTATCAATACAGTTATCTTTTTCTCCACGGTTTGTTATCTTTGCACATTTGGCTAAATGTTTCCTGTAATGATCTATTCGTCTATAAACTTTCCCACACCCATTACATGTTTCCTCATTAACTGCCTTTTTATGTTTTGGAACTTCAGATTCATCATTACTTATTGGATCTTCTGTGTCAATATCACTCCCGACATCATATTTGATTACTTTTCTTACTCGTTTACTTCGTCTTTGATCACTTGTGGCTTGTTCAAGCTCTCTATCAACCCATTCCTCATCAGTATCAGACATATCTTCCTCACTCGGCTTCCTCTTTTTAACTGATTGAGTTTTGACCTTCCTTGATGGATGTTTACTTCTTGGTTTTGGTTTTCTTTCCGATTTTATGTCTCCATTAGGTTTGGAGATGAGTTTTGGTTTGGGACACTTACCGGTTGCCTCTTTTGTTTTGATATGCACCCTATAGGATCTCCTATGTAGGAAACATGTCTTACAATCTTCACATTTTTTATAGTCAATGTTCAGATGTAGGCAAGTATGTTCTATGATGTCTTGTACAGTTTTAAGTTCTTTTTCACATTCAGTGCATTTCATGTCATTCTCCGTGTGTTTCGTTGTGTAGACGTGATTCTTAAAGCATCGATAGTCCTGAGATATGTCTCCACATACAAAGCATGTGTAACCTTTATACCCTGTCCCATGCAGAACCACATGTTCATTATAATGCTCCTTGTATTTAAAACTTTTATCACATGTTCCACATTTGAACGGTCGGTCAGTCGTGTGCACGAAGTAATGTCGATCAAGTACACATTTTCGTAAAAATGTCTTGTCACACACATCACACTTAAATGGTTCCTTATTATGTAACTTTGCATGGTGATTCAGAGAATACTGGTCCCCGAATGTACTCTTACACTTCGTACATGGGTACCTTACTCCAGAAGGGTTATGTATCCGTACCATATGCCTCTTTAAGGCAGCCTTACTCTTCATTGTCTTTGAACATTTATGACATTTAAATACACCAAGTGAATGAAACAATCGTTCATGTTTCTTAAAGGAATACCAAGTTAGTAGTGTCTTTGAACATATTTTACATGTCAAGTCGTCAGGTTTGAGATTCGATGGTTGTGGACCATGTTCGCTTAGTTTGTACTGAAACGGAAGAGTCCTCCCCTCGTGTATGTATTTCCGGTGCCACCTTAGCGCATGTAGAGAGAAGCACCTCTTTCCACAGTGTTTACACTTGTACTTGTCAGTCAATGTCTCAGGATGTACTTTGCCTGTGTGATTGTCTACTTGGTACAGACGTTTGAATGACTCCTGGCAATGTTCACACTTAAACTGTTGTTTGCCACTGTGGGTTAGCTCGTGGTATATCTGCCCTTGCCTTGTCGAGAATCTTCTACTGCACACCTAAAATATTGAAAATTAAACCACTGTTTGATTATTTCACTATGTGGTTCTAATCATTCATATTAGTGCTTTAAGATTGAAAACAGAGTAGCAAACAAACACTTCTCTTGAAATATAAATTATATGATTTATGAGTGTACAATTTTTGGATATAGGATGTGAGACATTAGACATTGCCTTGTTTGCCTTAATAAAGACTTCTCAAGAGTCATTTAAAGTAAAACTGAGGTATTATACGATAGAAATATTATATGAGGAATAATAATGAAATATTAATGTAATTTAAGACATATGGAACTTAAACATATTGAATTATGATGATTGTTTTAAAACAAAGAATTTTGATATCATTAGCCATGATGCCCCCTCCCCCAGTCATGTATCTTATCCAGACATATCAAGTACTGTATTGCTGTAAGAGCACTATTACCTTGCAGCTGTAGGGCAGTTCTCCTGTATGACTTCTAGAGTGAGTCTTCAGTTCATACTTGAAAGCAAACCGTCTATTACAGACCTGAAACATTAACAGTTAACTCATAAATAAATCTGGCATTTTCTTCGTTTCCAAATTAAAGTTGTTACAAAGTTTGCTCATTTCTTTCATTCAGTACTTTTTAAAATTTCTCATGGAAGTGTTCAATTTATACCCAAACAAATAAACTCAATTTGCCTGTATAACTCTAGTTATATTTGCCCATATAACAATTTGAGTATAACTCAGTTTGCCATTAAATATATGCATGCATGTACCTGCAAAATTAAACTTCTTTACTGTCTGTTGATTAAATATTACGCTTCGAAAAACAAAATCAAAGAGGAACAATAGTCCATGGCTTTAAAGTAATCTTAGTGAGTTAGGCCATTTTTCACCTAAGTTACTTTATGCTAACTCTGTCAATATCTAATTAAAAATATATACATTAAAACCTGTTTTAGTGAAAGACATTTGATATATGCTTAAAAGTGTTCCACTTGGGAGGTGCTCCATTTATAGAGGTTCATTTAACATTGAATCAGTTGGCCATGGGACTCTGAAAAGTGTTCCACGAACAGATATGTTCCACTTCTAGAGGTTCATTTAACATTAAATCAGTTGGCCATGGGACTCTGAAAAGTGTTCCACTTACAGATATGTTCCACTTCTAGAGGTTCATTTAACATTAAATCAGTTGGCCATGGGACTCTGAAAAGTGTTCCACTAACAGATATGTTCCACTTCTAGAGGTGTTCCAGTTAACAGGTTTTACTGTAATTGTCTTTCTTACCTCACACTTAAATGGCAGGTCCTTCTCATTCATGTGAATTTGTTTAATATGAGCCTGTACTCTGCTCCTTTCGGTGAAACATTTGCCGCAATGTTCACACGTGAATGGCTTCTCTCCTGTGTGGCTCTTCATGTGACGCATCAAGCTGTACCTGAAAAAACAACAACAACAAAAGGCATGATTCAACTAGATGACGCATCAAGCTGTACCTGAAAAAACAACAACAACAAAAGGCATGATTCAACTAGATGACGCATCAAGCTGTACCTGAAAAACAACAACAAAAGGCATGATTCAACTAAATGACGCATCAAGCTGTACCTGAAAAAACAACAACAAAAGGCATGATTCAACTAGATGACGCATCAAGCTGTACCTGAAAAAACAACAACAACAAAAGGCATGATTCAACTAGATGACGCATCAAGCTGTACCTGAAAAAACAACAACAACAAAAGGCATGATTCAACTAGATGACGCATCAAGCTGTACCTGAAAAAACAACAACAACAAAAGGCATGATTCAACTAGATGACGCATCAAGCTGTACCTGAAAAAACAACAACAAAAGGCATGATTCAACTAGATGACGCATCATACTGTACCTGAAAAAACAACAACAACAAAAGGCATGATTCAACTAGATGACGCATCAAGCTGTACCTGAAAAAACAACAACAACAAAAGGCATGATTCAACTTGATGACTCATCAAGCTGTACCTGAAAAAACAACAACAACAAAAGGCATGATTCAACTAGATGACGCATCAAGCTGTACCTGAAAAAACAACAACAACAAAAGGCATGATTCAACTAGATGACGCATCAAGCTGTACCTGAAAAAACAACAACAAAAGGCATGATTCAACTAGATGACGCATCAAACTGTACCTGAAAAAACAACAACAACAAAAGGCATGATTCAACTAGATGACGCATCATACTGTACCTGAAAAAACAACAACAACAAAAGGCATGATTCAACTAGATGACGCATCAAGCTGTACCTGAAAAAACAACAACAACAAAAGGCATGATTCAACTAGATGACGCATCAAGCTGTACCTGAAAAAACAACAACAACAAAAGGCATGATTCAACTAGATGACGCATCAAGCTGTACCTGAAAAAACAACAACAAAAGGCATGATTCAACTAAACGACGCATCAAGCTGTACCTGAAAAAACAACAACAAAAGGCATGATTCAACTAGACGATGCATCAAGCTGTACCTGAAAAACAACAACAAAAGGCATGATTCAACTAAATGACGCATCAAGCTGTACCTGAAAAATAACAACAAAAGGCATGATTCAACGAGATGAAGCATCAAGCTGTACCTGAAAAACAACATCAAAAGGCACGATTCAATGATTATTGTTCTGTCTATTGGAAAGGTGATTTACAGATTCACCAGATTATCCGGTGACGATGTATCATTGAACTGAAGTTGCGAACAATTGAAAAATGAGAGCACCTTTGTGACAGATTGACAGGTATATTCGCCAGTGTGTATATATTCACCAGTGTGTGCATATTCACCAGTGTGTATTCTCTCTTGTATTGTGATTCACATATTCACATCAAAATAAGATTATCTAATGTGTATCTTTAAATAACATATGTGATAAACAGAAAAATGCATACATTAGTCCCAGTATGTACATTTGTGAGTTACGGAATCAAATATACTTCATTTTAAATGTATATTTATATTTATAAATTGAAGTTTATTTTGATCAGCGATTGTAATAATTTCATACTATAATGTCGGTTTCCATCATGCGCACTGAGCAATTAAAAAAACATTTCTATTTCAAACAAGTACTAAATTTCAACACAAATGTTAAATTGATTAACCTTGTTTCATTGTATGATATTAAATGTTATAATATATGAACTTGAAATAAAAATGATTAAAAAAAAAATACTAGGAAAATACTAGGTCCTTTCAGCGTGAATATTGGGAAGACCATATTACAGTTTATAAATTCAATGTATGTCTTTCATACCCTATCGAACTAGCTGTTGTAAATATACTCTTTATACTTTCAAGTTCTTGCTATGACAACCACTAATGGACCATCAATGAATAAAAGACTGACACACAATACAGTAAAAACCTGTCTCAGTGAACACCTCTCTCTCTCTAGTGGACACTCTTCCTCTCTGTAATGAGCACCTATCTACAGTGAACATATTTTGTGGCTGTATAGGTATTTGCTGTACACAGTAAAAGTTTTACTGTACATGCAAATGAAGTTTTAAAAATCAGATATGAATCAGAAAGAATCATAGTTTGTTAAAGAATTAAATTTTTTCAAAACATACATTTGAGAATAAGGTATACTATAGCTGCCTACCTTGTACTGTATGAAAGGTCACACAGGCCACAGGCGTGGGGTCTCGAAGAAGGGTCCTTATGGAGCCACTCATGTTTTTTCAAATGTTCCTTCCTCTTGAATGACTTGGAGCAATATGTACAAGGAAAGGGTCGCATATCAGAATGGTATATCATGTGAGTGTCCAATAAGCACTTTGACGCAAATCTCTTATCACAAATTGAGCAGCTTACTGGTTTAGCAATGAGAGGATCAGAGTTGTGAGACAGCAAATGGTGATCAAGGAGGACTTTCCGTGTAGTGTCGTAACTACAAAGATTACACTTGAATGGGCGTGTCCCTGTATGAGTCTGAACATGCACTTTATGTGTGTTTCGACTGTATGCTAATTTACCACACATTTCACATTTATATTTCCGCTCGCCCATATGCTTATTCTTGTAATGTTCTGTGATATATGTGATCTTCTTTAATTTTGTTTCACATTTTGGACACTTGAAGACTTTAAGCTCTTGTTTCTGCCACTCCTTTACAAAGACACCTATGATTTCATTCTGGCATTTCCTGCAGATTGGATCATATCCATCCTCGAGGAAAAGTTGTCCTTGCATCAGTTTTTTGCAGAGGGAATTACATTTTGTACAAAAGATAGGTTTTACATCTTTGTCACAGTCTGTTTCACTTGATTTAGCCTTAGATTTCTTTAGAGCTTTTTTCTTTGTGTTCTTGGTCGTTGATGGCTTGTTCAGTTTATGATTTTTCTTTCTAAGCTCTGACACCTCATCACTTGTGTCTGTATCTGAATCTGATGTCAATTCCTCTTTGATAAGTAGTGGATCAACTGATAGTTCAGAGCTGTGGTTACTAGCGTTCAGTTCCATACTGGGGATATGAGGATCCATACTAGAGAAATCTGAGTCCATACCGGAAACCCCAGAGCCACCTTGTGAAGACAGAGATGTAGAGAAATCCATGGATATTTGAGAAGAAAGTAGGTCAACTTGCGAGGGGGCGAAACTTTCACCCTGTGGTAGGTAATCCATGGCAGTTGGTGTGTATTCTACAGTAGAATCTTTTGGTACAAGCTCTTTGGGTTGATTGGGTGTGTCTTCTACAGAAACAGGTTTGGGAATAACATCTCTGGGAGGACTTCCAGAAGAAGCTGTTTTCTTTTCCAGTATCTTTTTTACTGTCAAAACTGCACTTCTCTTCTTTTTGGAAGGTCTCATTTTTTCTATTGGTATTGTTGAAACATTTCCAGTAGATGCAGTTGGGTCATTTTCAATGGATACAAGTGGGATATTTCCAATTTTTAAAGGTAGAACATTTCCAATGGATACAGGTGGGGCACTTCCAATGGATACAGGTGGGACATTTCTAGTAGATATAGGTTGGGCATTTCCAATGGATACAGGTGGGACATTTCCAATGGATACAGGTGGGACATTTCTAGTAGGTATAGGCTGGGCATTTCCAATGGATACAGGTGGGACATTTCCAATGGATACAGGTGGGACATTTCTAATAGATATAGGTTGGGCATTTCCAATGGATACAGGTGGGACATTTCCAGTGGATACAGGTGGGACATTTCCAATGGCTTTATAAGAAGGATAGTCCATTGTTGTTAGTGCATTCTCAAAAGTTGTTGGTCCACTTCCGAGTGCTCCTGAGACATTTCCGACAGAATTCAAAACTGAACTCACAGTTGATCCAACGATTGAGGAGATACTTTCCATCTGTGACACATTCACTGTATTAATGGATGCCTTTCCAAATGAAGCTTCCCTTGTCAAAGGCATGGGGGAGTGAGGTGGAGGGGATGGCATGGGGGAGTGAGGGGGTGACATGGAAGTATACATTGGTGAGTTATCTCTGTGGTCTTCAATATCAGATTCTTCTGTCTTTATGTCAAACATGGTAGCATTAGGAGGTACTGTGTTTATATCCTTGGAGAAAGAAATATCTGGGGCTTCGACATTTTGGTCAAGCTTAGGTACATCAGATGTACCAGTCTCATAAGCTTTTCTTAATAACTCAGTCTCGTTGCTTAAGATAGGTGTGTGCTCAATTGTTTTAAGTTGAGCAGAATCATTTTGTTGTTTTCTAACATTGACCTGATTGGCCATATTTAACAGTAACTCGCTTGCAGTCGATTGTTTCTTATGCTGAACAGTACCAGGATTAACAGGACTATGAGATGCAATTCCTTGAGTTTTTGGTGTAGAAGGTCCCAGTGCAAGGGACTGCTTTTGTATTGAAGGCTTTGAAAGAACATGCCTTTGCAGTTTACTCAAAATATTTACATGTGTTTGTTTTGGTGCTATTTGACGAAAACTTGGTGTAGATTTGGTGATATTCGTCCCACACTTTTTCGCAACTTGCGCACTTGGTAGAGAAAATTGATGTTTGGACTGCTCACTAGAGGGCACCAATGCCCTAGCATTTAGTGATGTAACTTTGGATGGGACACTGACCATATTGGATGGTTGAGTCAAGATAGGAAGCTGTTGATTGGCAACTTCTGATTGCTTTTTGACCACATGTGATGATTGATTGTCCATATCGGAGCCTCGATTTTTCTCTCTCAAAAGTTCACGAACTGTTTTGACCTGGTGAGTTCTTTTTGCATTATCTCGAATGCTTTCAACTGGAATTGGACTCATTATAACGGGAATATAGTTTCCATCAGGGGACACCTGAAACATGATATGTTGATTGTTTGTGAGTACCTGTTGATTGTTCGTGACCACTTGTAGATTGTTTGTGTTCATTTGTTGATTGCTTGCAACCATCTGTTCATTGCCTGTGGCCACTTGTTGATTGCTTGTAACCATTCGTTGTTTCTTTGTAATTTTTTGTCGATTATTTGTTTCCATTGGTTGACTGCAAGTAATGACTTGTTGATTGTTTTTGATCTCAGGTTGATTTGTTTGGGTAGTTTGTTGATTATTTATTGGCATTGTATATAGAATGCATGGTTGACTGTCTTGCCCCTGTATACCCTCGTTGACCTGGGCTTCAACAATGCGTTGAGAATTTGCTGTGACCTCCATTGTTTTCATGCAGGCATCACCTCCATTTTTACAAATCCTTGTTCTTTCACCTGGAAGCAAATAAATCAAATAAACTTCTGTTTAGTTGGCCATTCAAGTTTAAAGCTCATTTAGGAAAGAGTTTGATGAAACAATAATAATTTGGAAGTTTTCAGATTTAGAATTCATATTCTTTGTTATTCATATTTCATATTCCTCTGCACCTGCAAGTAACATAACATTGCTTAACAAACAGTCATTGACAGTATGTCTCGTGTGGGGTATTTTGTGGGATATACCAGGATTACAGACAAGATTTTTGGATGGAAAATCCAAAATTGTCACCTAACGTTTAAAACATAGCAACATAGGCGTAGCCAGGGGGGTGTGATAGGTGCACCCCCCATAACCAATAAAAATACAACCAGTAGATATAAGAACAAGAGCTTTAAAATGCTTTTTATATAAAGCATCTAGCTCAATTTTGAAGGAAGTTGCATCAATCTTTGTACAATTCAAAACAAATCTTAAAATTTGGGGTTGCTTATGCCACGATATCCCCCCCCCTGACTGAAAACCTGAAACAAAAACTTTTTTTTTGGTGATTGAACTCCCCTGACTGAAAGCTGGCTACTCCCTGAGCAACAAGGTTATCAAAACTAACAAACCTAAATAGCTGACTTTACAAAAGTAGAAAGGTAGCCTCATTTTTAGAGAAATTATTGGATTTGGTTTCAGATTTTAAAATAAACTAAAAGACTTTAATTAATAAACCTCGACCATCAAAAGTTGTCAACTCTCCCAAACAATAGAAAAATAATCCCCGTTTACTCTAAGTAGCTCAACAAATGACTCCAAAGCTTCATACCTGCAAATGATAGATAAATTCCTACCAAATCGAACAAATGTTTTCATGGATCGCCATTCTTGTGATCCAAGGAGGATTGATTCCCAGAATGCAACATCAGTTAACCTTATTTACTCGTGACATTCAAAATGGCGGAATTGCATTTTGAAAACTGTCACATGTCATGTTGCATTCTGGGAGCCAATCCTCCTTGCGGCATAATTGGGCTCCAAAATCACCTCAACATTTGGAGAGTCTGCATTAACATGTGAATATCACTTCAAATTTTTTAGTTCCTAATTGAGCCTATGGAAAGGGGCTTTTGTCACGTAATCATGCCAGGTGGTAATACGTTTTCACGTCGCACGTTACTAATCAGAATTACTTTCACATTTCACGTCCTTGATCATCAAAATATTACATTCACATTTCACGAAGATCAAATATCATTACATTCACGTTTCACAGGCGTTAAATAAAGCGCTAAACCGTCCAATGGCGAAATTATACTTTTGATGTAGAGTGTTTGGATTTCACAGCCGTAATGGAAGATGTCCAACTGGCAATTATCAACATTTATGTAAAAAACGAAGTTAATCTCATTATATTTTGATTGTAACGCTAACTCTCTTTACTGATATTCACTAACAAAGTCGTCGTTTACCCCCTGTGTTTTAGTTTGTTTAGTTTGCATAATAATAACTAAATTAAACACAGACTCAGCGAAATCACTCTCCATTTTGCTTGCAAGTTTTGCAAAGTCCAGACAATGGTCACATAGTCCAGATATCTTTGTATTCGCTGGATTGGCTTGCTATTGGTTGAATTTCTACTAAGTCATTATTCTCGACCAATCAAAATAGAAGAAAAGAAATTAAAATATTAAAATATCCCGATGGTATTCCACATCTCTTATGTTAATCTTTGTCGCGTTTTGTAACTGGTTTTCTGACTGGCTAAAATCAGAAAAGTTTAGAAATAGGAACTAATTACATTTGAGTTTACAAAGTCTACAAATAAGATGTATCACAAAAAATAACGTAGGATCAAAGGTATTCTCGCTGAACGAAGTTTCATTTATTCTGAAAATGTAGCACAAAATAACGAGACTGAACGGCATCACCGGGGTCTCATAATTCAAAATACGATGCACGAGGCAATGTTTAATGACTTCACGATGCACAGGGTTAACTTCATGAACGTCTGCACGGGCCTGTAGGGCTTGCATTTCACGTTTCTCATTCAATCAAAATCCACTAAAACACTGCACGCCCGAAGCCTTTCCATAGGCTCCTAATTATCTTTATGGACACAAATTCCAGTAAATTAGCAAAGAAAGAAAGAATAGCACGTTCCAGGACGGAGAAAATAGAGCACTCAATTCACCGAGGTAAGAATTTATTACATATGCCAGAATGTATTTTTCATAGTGTTAGTCATTATTTATGTTCCCAACTTTAAAGAGAACATGACAAATATTTGGAAAAATCTGGGAAAAATTTCCGCCACTTTTTCGTAACTCTAATGGTAAATCTATGTCACTAAAATATGTTTTATGATGTCTTATGTTTTACTGCTGTTACCTTCATAAGTTTAACTATTGGAATTATATAATTGATGACTACTATACCTGAGTATTTTAACTTTTGATAAAGTTGAAAACTTTTATTTCCCTACCGGAAATGGAAGTGAACTTTCTCTCCTCTAAATGTGAGAGCTTCCTCTTGCTCAGGTTAAAAGTTTTAACGCGGGAAATTCAAATTGCATCTGGCCTTCGTTCATGTAGTTTAGAACATTTGCGTTGTTATTCTTCTAATACGTATAAAAGAGGTTCGGTAACCGCCCCCCCCCTGCATGCATAAGAAACGACCCGAAGATTCCCACAAAAATGCACATCCTTTCCACGAATACGAGTTCACGTTTTAGATACAACTCTAATTTGCTGTTTACTTCCGGGTTGTAAATTAATGGTAAGTCGATGTACTTCAGAACGTCACGAATGACAAATAGGTTTATTTGAGGCTAGACGAGTTTTGTCAACACCCTGTGAGTGTGTTATCTATTAGAGTGAGTGGGTGTATTACAGTAGTTGAGGTCAAACCATATCACATTAGTAACATCGGCGACTAGAAGGAAGTTATAGGAATCGCTAAATCGGGTAAGCTACATGTAAGCTACAGTTGGGGACATAAATAAATGACAGGTGGATTTGCTGAAGTGAGGATTTCCCATGTTAAAAATAAGAGAATTTACAAGAGGCCATAAATCAGTGGATGAGATTATACAAAATGTAAAATATACAAATTTTAAGGGATATGTATCTAGACAATATTGGAAATTATGGGCTTTCAGACCACCATAATTAGGAAATGGTGATCGAAAATCGACCTGTCATTTATTTTTGTCCCCAACTGTACATATAACGTTCCTAACAGGATTACCATCTTTCAGGGAGTGTTCAAATACGTACATATACATGTAGGGCCTATATGCTCTGATTTATCGGCTTTTATCTTATTGATTATATCATTATGGCCATCATTTACTATGTCTGTTGCATGAAGTAAGTCACATGTACCCCCATAGCATGGTTGTGGACGGGTCCTGACTCCAAATCAAAACTGGAAAACCCTAAGATTCAACAAGCTAAACCCAATATACTGCTCTCATTATTAAGCCTGTAGGCTCAGTCTGCATAGTGATAGGCCTATACGGGAACTGGATTCTGACCCAGTGTCCGGGCCCAGTGTATGGCAAACAGTATCATTCGATCACTACATGTACCTCTATCGTATTGTAGATTACTTTGATTTGATCCCCGGGATTACTTCTTTTTAGATCAATCACAGGTGTAAGACAACCACATAAAATATGTCAGAAGGACAGAAATGGCCAGAATTCGTTGGCAAGGTAGGTCAATCAGATCAGAGCCTTTTGAATTAAAGAATACAGTGGAGGAAAATTGAGCTTGAGAAAAAATCATGGCTTTGCACAGTCAGACCATCTATCAAATATCGAATAGTCTAATAATAACTTAATGATAAATGATTATGTTCACTGTGGGTATTTTGGCATTGTTTCTTTCTATGATGGATTTTACATTTAGGATGTCGGCCATGATTAACGCCGGGGGATTGTTTTTCCTTGGCCATTGGCCATTGGTACTGTTTCATTTTCTTGGCTGTGTTCTCCAATGCTCTGGCTTCTCCCTTTTATGTGTGCCTGAATATTTATTCGATAAATGTTTCATGTTATCAATAGTAACACTTTTAAACTTAATTCTTACACTTAAAACGTAAACTTTAATTCAGATGTAATTTATATATTTCTAATTTAGTTTTAAATCTTTTATCATCACTCAATTAAATATCTTGTAAAAATGTGTTAATTACATTCAGAAAAATGGTCGGGAGAGTAAATTAATATCAATGAATCAGTGTTGGGATAGCAACCATTAAGTGCTATGCGATTCTTTAAATTTATCAAAGTGAAAAAACAGTAACGATGATAATTTGAAATTATATCAATATGCCACTTCGGCACCGGGGACTTTGGACCGATCGGGCAAACCCAATATGTCATAAATTAACATGAGGGGAAATTACAGATGCTGTTCAAGATTCTTAGCTTCAGTTAAAAATCGCGATTTATTAATTATGGCCATGCCAATTGCCTAACGGTCCTCGGTGTATTCATCCGCCATTCATAAGTAGATTAAACCACACTTTTTGATGTTTAACTATTTCATAAATATAAATATGTGTATATTGCAAACGTTACACTAAACGAAAATACACCGTCAATATTTATTTTACTTTTAGACTGGAGAAGAAGCAAAACAAGGGATTCTAGCCGCATATCCTAATCTAAAAGTAAGACTCAGTGACTTTATAGTCTACCACGTTATTTTGAAATATGTTAAGTAGTCGTATTATTCTGTATATCCTAGCTGTGATGCCGAGTAATAGATATAATACTATATACATGTATATGTTCGCTCCTCCTAACAATTAACTGCAATAACGCAGATGCGAGTAGGTAGTTACCAGTTTGACCACCAGGTGGCTCAGTCGGGTCAGATAGCATGGCGGGTATAGGAAAAAGTTCCCTTTAATTTAAATTATATCTATTTTGGTGGTTCAATTTTCATATAACCCTTGTGTATCTAATAGTTATGCAAATTAAAATATGTCCAGTAAAAGAAAATGGTATTTGTCAAATACAAGAAAAGTTATTTCATTTTTTGTGGTTTTGTAACATGGGGTCTATTGGGAATCAACCCGAACGAGAAGTCACATTTTCAAAGAAAATTATATTTTCAAAGTTGATAAACAATTTTCGAAACCATATTTCTAGATGTACTTTACTTATAGAATTCAAATATGACATCACTTTGACTGAATTTTGAATATCTAATGACGTAAATCTAGATTATTTCTACTCGCATCTAGTCTATTATAGAATGCTCTATAGCAGATGTGCTGCCATCTGGTGTCAGAGGAGCTGAAAATAAGTTATCCAGTACTAGTATTTCATGTGTTTCTCTACCATGATAATGACCTCTTTTTTAGGTGGAAATAATGAACTTCAAAAGTCCAGCCACTATGGATTATAGAGTTGACAGAGTACGGATAATTACAGATGATTCTGGAAAGGTCATGCGACCACCTACGACTGGGTGATGTGGAGATAGGTCTTAACATTCATGGAAGATTGAACTGAGCATATTTATTTATCAAAATACATTAGTGCAACCAATTTTATAATATGATAACTCTGAATTAAAACTATTAATAACGGTGCATCAATGAATCATATTCCATGAAAAGTTTGTCCAACACAGACATATAGTAAACTTTTAATAACACTTACAATAAAATAGTTCGTCCAACAGCCATAAGACCGTCAGTTATGGCGACATTTTTTTAAATTTACACTGGACATTGATGCCTAAGCGTGTCAATGAACGTGAAATAATGTCTGTGATAGACGAACTTTCAATGGAATATGAACACCGTCGGACAAATCACATGATAAATAAATCATGTGTTTTAAAATTTGATCCATTCATTGGCACAGAAACAATTATCTATTATCGGATTATTGTCACTTGTCACAGACCATCAATAATTGACTAATACAATCCCAGCGATCTAGACATATAAGTGGGAAGAAGCTTACAAAGCTTTCTCAAAAATGATTATTAACAATAAGTGGTGTTGTGATAGAAATAATAGTTTTAATATTTTTATCTACCAATTTCCCAATGTGATTTTTATGTTATATATGTATTACAAATTTTTTAATAAAAATATGATTTACAAAATAACGACGAACAAATTGTTTTTGTTTTTAAGCCTATTTCCATGACAACTAAACCGTTTCAGCGAATAAAGAGAACATAAACCGTTGGTAATACTAATATAGTGATTTATCAAATAATTCTGAGGAAACGCCTTTCGATATCATATTAATATTAATCGGGTAGCGCAGGGGAAACTTGAAACATAAATACATTGTATACAACCACTTGAACGGCAGTAGACCCAACAACAAATGCCTTCATTTTGCTGTACCAAAGACTATGTTTCGTCGCATGAGTAAAATAACTTTGAACGATCTCCTTTTTATGTCATCATCAGAAGGAGTCACATTATAATGTTGTAGTCTCCAACCGGATGGTGTTCAGCGGTTGGTGTTTTTCGGTTGGTGTTCGGCGTTCGGCGGCTGTAACAAATGGCAAATGGTGACAGTTTGCAAGTTTATGCCTTGTATAAAATGTTAGATAAACATTCTGTTTTCACATGATTTGTAGCAACTCATTTAGTAGTATATTCTTTAACTCCCTGGGAGTTGATCCTGGGATTGATCCTTGGATTAGACCCATAAGAAACTAATTTTCAATTTCTGGGAAATCTTTACTTTACTAGGCCCTGATATGTATGTTCACTCCTTAGGGGGTTTTATCGTGTAAAATTAAAAGCGGCTTGAATGAAAAACCATTTCCTCGAAATAGTTATATTAAAAGGATATTAAGTCTCTGTCCGTAGGATCATTTTATTTCATGAAGCAATCTAAAATATAACTTATATTTCAGATAGTCATCACAGAATGCAATGTGAAATCGTTCAATCTGGTTTTGTTTTCAAAAGCTTTTGGTGGCCCGCCTCAAAAACACTCATGGAACAAAAGATATATAAATTTTTAATCAACAAAAAGGCAAATTGTACCGTGCCAGCCAAAATAGGTTTCAATTGGCCATTAATATTTTATTTTTTATTAACCAAGCTATTTGTGTAAATTTTTATTGACCTTTTATTCCATTAGTGAGAAACAAACCATGCAGCAACAGTCGATCTGTTGTTAGTACATATATGAGCATGGGCGTAGCCAGGGGGGGGTGCGATGGGTGCGATCGCACCCCCCCCCCATAACCTTTGAAAATATGATCATTGGATAGAGGTAGTAGAAAAGAGCTTTAAAATGCTTTTTATTTGAAGCTTCTAGCTCAATTTTGAAGGAAGTTGCATCAATTTTTGTAAAATTCAAAAGAAATCTTAATATTTTGTGTTGCTTATGGCAAAATCGCACCCCCCCTGACCGAAAACTGAAAAAATTTTGGCAATCGCACCCCCCCCCCTGACTGAAAGCTGGCTACGCCCCTGATGAGTCTGCCAATGACTCAAAAGTCATTGCCAGATTGTTTTGTTTCCTTATATGTAACCCTTTTTCGTGCTTTGATCTCAATATATATTATATAAGATACCATGGTCAGGGCAATTTCAGGTATATAATATCAACGGATAAATCACATGTTTGGGGCAGGGGTGATATCAGGGATGATATTTGGATGAGAGGAATAATATCAGGGACGATATGGATATCAATCCGGGACA